ATTATTTTTTCATATTAATGTATTTTTAATAAAATTAATAAAGTATTTGATAATAGAAATATATTAAATATATGTTCCTGTTTTTTTATTTCTTTGTAATAATTTTATTTTTGTGTACAAAATATATATTTGAATGTCCATACATACACGTACCATATATTCGATCGTCATCGGTTAACAACGATATTTTTGAAAAACGTTCTTTTAAAAAGTCTCACATTCTTTACCAGTCAGTGTGATTTCTATTGAACGATTTAATCATAAATAATTGTGATTGTTAGTGTACTATTATTGTAACAATTAATTGTGAAAGTGTTCCTTGTGGTGGAGAGTCGCAGTTATAAGATAAAAGTAAGTAAAAATAAAAATTATTAACAATTTTTTTGAAATTCTACTGATCAATAAGCTAATTTATTGAATTATGATGACTGTAATACAATCAATAATGATGCATAATCAGTATTTATATAAATTATTAAAGAAGTAAAATAAGATAAAAAATAAAATTGTGTTTTAGTAATTAAAATTTTTTATGATTAAATGGACAACTAAGGCTAATCACAACTATAAATGACAAGGGCAATATATTGAAATGCATGCTAATATAGTATTGAAAAATTATAATATAGTAATAATATAGTGAAGAAAAATTAAATATAATTTTGTAAACTTGTGCATTGAATACTAGCACACTTAAGACTATCATTATAAATAATAGTAGCATTTGTAGTTGTGATTATGACAACGAATTACCAGGTGCTGGTGTTAGTACCAAAAACAAACTACAATCCACGACAAAAAAGTGACTTAGAATGCTGATAAAGTTATTGTAGCTAAATAATTATAACGATCAATTATTGTGGTATCTCTCTAGTGACAGGATCTCATAACTAATATTAGCTGCAATAACTTTATGATCATTGTAAGTCACTTTTTTATCGTGGATTGTGGTTTGGATTTCATAATAGCAACCAAATCTGATGATTAATCTTCATATTCACAACCAATATTACTACTGCTATTTGCAATAATTGCTAATATAATTAGTTTCATTTTATTTTTTTTTATGTTTTATAATTTTATCTAGTTAATTTTTCATTCATTTTTTTTCATTTTAAACTCTAAGAAAAATTTGGAGGGGCAATGAGTGTGGTTGTGCCTCACATGTCAAGGCGAGGTCGGGGCCTTGACAACAAAAATTAAAAAATAATTTTCCCTTATAATAAAAGACATAGCGTAGATATATCGGATAATGCTATTATTTTTTTACAGATACGTCAACTGATTTCAGGGACTCGGAAGTATATGGCAGTTCTATTTTTATAATTTAAATATATTAAAAAAACTTTAATTCTTAATTTTTTTCAGGTATCTGTAAATAATTTATATATATTTTAATTATTATTAATAAAAATAATTTATATTTAAATAATTTGTTTTTATTTAATATAACCTCGTTTAATAATTATATATTGCAAAAAAAAAATCTATAAAAATTTAAAAAAAATGCAAGCACAATGCCTGCACAATGCGCGCACGCCGTGCCGCGCACCGTGACGGCACAATGACGGCACGATGCGTGCACGCCGTGCCGAACAACATTTTCCATACGTGGAGGCATAATGCCGTCAGAATGCGCATGCACTCTGCCGTCACAATGCCAGCACGAAAGTCACGCCGTGCCAGCATTCTGCCGACACTATGTTATCTGGGATCGAGCCGGCGCCAGTCGCTCTTTGTACCCAGATAACATAGTGTCGGCAGAATGCTGTCACAATGCTGGCACGCCGTGCTTGGTACGGCGTGCAAGCATAATGCCGGCATTGTGCCTCCACGTATGGAAAATGTTGTTCGGCACGGCGTGCACGCATCGTGCCGTCATTGTGCCGTCATGGTGCGCGGCACGGCGTGCGCGCATTGTGCAGGCATTGTGCTTGCATTTTTTTAAAATTTTTATAGATTTTTTTTTTGCAATATATAATTATTAAACGAGGTTATATTAAATAAAAACAAATTATTTAAATATAAATTATTTTTATTAATAATAATTAAAATATATATAAATTATTTACAGATACCTGAAAAAAATTAAGAATTAAAGTTTTTTTAATATATTTAAATTATAAAAATAGAACTGCCATATACTTCCGAGTCCCCGAAACCAGTTGACATATCTGTAAAAAAAATAATAGCATTACCCGATATATCTACGCTATGTCTTTTATTATAAGGGAAAATTATTTTTTAATTTTTGTTGTCAAGGCCCCGACCTCGCCTTGACATGTGAGGCACAACCACACTCATTGCCCCTCCAAATTTTTCTTAGAGTTTAAAATGAAAAAAAATGAATGAAAAATTAACTAGATCAAATTATAAAACATAAAAAAAATAAAATGAAACTAATTATATTAGTATTAATAAAGTTAGTGATAAAGAAATTTAATAAATTTAAGTTCAAATAAAGTTAATAAAGTTAAACTAGTAAAACTAAAATAAAATGAAACAAAATTAAATAAAACTATAATGAAATAAAACTCGAAGAAAAATGCTGAAAAATCTCATGCAAGAAATATTAATACATAACATTTTTTTAAACATTTTTTATAGTTTTTTGTAATTTTTTTTTATTTTTCTACTTTCTATTTTTTTTTTGTTTTTTTCTAAGAAAGAAATGGAATAAAATAAATATAATAAATAAATAAAGTAAATAAATAAATAAAGTAAATAAATAAATAAAATGATTAAATAAAATAAGTGAAATAAATAAAATGAATAAATGAAATAAGTAAAATGAATAGAAGAAATAAATAAAATGAATCATGAAATCAATTAAATAAATTCATAAAATAACATAAATTAAATTAATTAATTAATGAATTAAATAAATAAATAAACTAAATAAACTAAATAAATAAATAAACTAAATAAATAAATAAACTAAATAAATAAACTAAATAAATAAATAAACTAAATAAATCATATAAATTATAAATAAATATCACCAAATTTGTTAATCTTCATCTTCGAACATCTCGTTGTCGCTTATATACGCTGTTTGATCCAGGTCAGCTGCTACCTCCTCCGTTTCCGCCAGGTCCACGTCCGCTTCCATCGGTTGATCTTCATACCCGGCATCACCATCATCTTCAGCTTGCCCACCTGTAAATAAAAATTGTTTAAGACCTTGGTTAGATTTGGTTTTCCAGGTATCTAGAAGTAACTATGAAATCTTTACCTAATTCTTCATAACGAAGTCTCTGCTCCTGAACGTTGCAGATCGATTGGCGTCGCAAACGCTCCTTTAAATTTTTCAAGGCCTTGACGAAAAACAAATCGATGTCATTTTCCGTAGGCCTTGAAAAGTTTTTATTGGCATTTAAGGACTCTGTAAACAAAATTTTAAATATTAATTTTCTAATGAAAAAATAAATTCACTGCATTCGGTTAATAAAATTAACGAATATTGAATATTTACCGACGCAGGCATCGTAAAACACTGTCCCCTTCAAAGTGAGCTGATGCTTTCCTTTCCCTTTGAAGATGACACCACTCAACAAGGATTCATTAACGTCGAGAGCCTCTAGTAAATATCTAGAGATGCAGTCTCTGACGTTAAGTCCTCCTAAGTATGCGAAATATGATACCTATAACAAAGTATTATAATATAATCCTTAAAGATAATATTGATAATTTAGATACTAGAATACTTAACTTACAACGTTATCATAATCCGCAGTGCTGACATCTGCAAAGGATTGAATGTCAGTCACACTTTTGAAGGGTAGACATGCAGGTCTTCGCAGTTTATCCTTCGATAGCCTGAATCGCGCATCCATTCGCTGCAGTTGTTCTTGGAGCTTGCTACAAATAATAAAATTATGGTAATTATTTATTCAAATACTCTTACGGTAACTGTAATTAAAAAGAAAGTTACGTTTGGTTTCCTTTGATGATGCCGAGGTCTTCTTGTATTTTTCTAAATTAAAATTTACATGAATTTTGAGTCAAGTTAATAATTATAAAAAATATATTATTCACAAATTTTCTTACTCCTGGGTATCCCGAATTTTTTGGAGATCTTCTTGGTTCTCCATGACCTTCTGGACGTTTTGCTGCAATTCCCTGAGAAAATTAAATAATATAATTAGCAAGGTATGACGTTTAAGGATTAACATAATCTAAAATAACGAATTTTTGTGGAATAACCGTTTATAAGGTAAATTGGGGAGGAGGTAACGACGTCTTACGGGGCACAACTGCCCTAGTCATAATTTGGTTTTAAGTCCCGAAATATTTAAACTATTTTATATAAAATAAGAGTGAGTAAACGCATATTAGAGAGACACGACAATAATGAAACAATATATTTAAATAATGGAATAAAATGCTGAGGTGGTATTATTTGATTATAGCTTACCTCAAAATTTCGAGCACTGTTTGTTTGTCCGTCCATTCGTCCGCTGGTTCTGGTCTAGTGACGTTGACGGAGAAAGACGGTTGTCGTGTGAGTGTTGTAAATGGTACTGAGTCGTGGTGTTGTAGCTGTTGTTGATTAATTGCGTGTGTGAAAGAAAGGCTTGTGGATGTAAGTGAGGTGTTGGATTGAGCTGGTTGTGTATTGCGAACGTGTTGAGTGAATGATGTGTTTTTTTGTGTTTGTGCTGGCTGTCTATAAGTGTTTTGAGTGAGAGATGTATTTGATGGTTGGTGTGAGTGTGAAATTTTAATTTTTTTGTTGTGGTTTGCAAAGAGTGATTGAGAGTTGACGGGTTTTAGTGTGTACGTAGTGTTCTGTATTTGTGTGGTGTTTAGATTGTGTGTTTGTGCCGTTAAATTGATTCGGTCATTGAGCCCGCCCAAATCTTGTTGAAGAAGCCGCAGAGATTGGCTTGGCTTCAGTGATTCGGTTCCCCTCATCTTCGGTGGCATTGTAACGTCTACGAAAAACATTTGAGGGGACGAGTAAAAAGTATCAATGTGTTCAATAAATAAAATAAGAAATGACAAGTAAAAACAAATTAGCATTTATCGTATCATCTCCTTATAAAAAACAGATTCGAAAAAAGTGAAACCAAACTATTTGTGATGTAATTGGTTGAGAGATATTTACGCGAGCATGCATAAACATATCGGTATTTATTATGCATATATGATCAGAGTTTATGTTTTAAAATTTTAAATATGTAAAGAAATAAAACGATGAGATCGAGCGAAGCGCACCTAACATGTGTAGTAGCTAAAAATGCGTAACTTAAAAGTTGGTTGAAAGCGAATTTATAAAAATAAAATAATAAGTTTGATAAATACAAATATTATACTGATCAAGATTATCGCGTAAAATTTCGCTATATATTAAAGAATCTGCTTAAGATTGCGAGGAAAGAATTGTCGACACTACATAATAATTCCTTTTAGGTTCCGACATACAATTATTTGCAGGCCAATAAGGCATCCTAAAGCATTTGCATTTAACATTTTGAAGTGGGACTAAGGAGATATCAGGCGATAACGAATGAACTAAAAAAGTTCCAATTTTCGAAGATACAAATTGACCTACATCGAAAACATCATCAACTTCTTGAAAACATTGAATCGCTAAATAACAATGATCATCATCTATTTGAATAATATTTTTTACTATACAAATTCTGGAATCAATCAAACGCACTGTATTATTAGCTTGATCGAGAGACAGCTTAAAATTTCCCGTTTCAAGTTTACCGTACATACGATAATTATAATCATCTAATGACAATGGCGCATGATAAAATTTTCGCCGATGTTGTTTTCTAAAAATAATTTTCCTTTCGTTTGATTTTATCACCTGTTTCTTACGAAGACTTTCAATTCTCCTCCTATAAATTTGTGCTAGATGAAGATGCGGTTTGCGACAAGCTTTACGAAAAAACATCATGTTATTTTCGTAAGGAAAAGCTGAGCATGAATCAAGAGACCCGAAATTTTTATAGTCTTCGTGTAAATGTAGAAGACCATGAGTGACGTATGATAAGAACTCTAAACCAAAGATTTCTTCAGCTCTAACGACGTAGATTTTAATAAATTCTTCAGCGTATGCAAGAAGATTTTCAGAAGAACCTGGACACAAAAAAATTCGTATAGAACAGCTCAGAAGTAGAAAATGTAAATAAACGACAGTTTCGATTAAACCTAAAAAAACTACGGGGCCAGTATATACAAGTACTTGTCGGAACTCGGTAGCCTTGAATTTACTATAATTTGTTATATCTACGGGTTTTCGTGAAAATTCCTCAGGACAATATTTTTTTATTAAAACTAGTCTTTTGTTCACTTGTGAGATTGCGATTTTACTCATTTTTGAACTCTGAGAGAATTTACCATCTATAATAGCTTCTAAAAATTTTTTTGTTACTCCCATGGCGACTAGATGCATATAATCGAAAACAACGTGTGATACGAATTGGAATGGTAGCCTGTCGAGAGCCCCCGCTCCCTCCTTGTGATACTCACCATCAACTTTGGAAATGTACTCTTCGTTTGTACGAGGAGGATGATTTACTCCTCGAAAAACCATTACAGAGCTTTGGCGAATAAATTGACCTTGTACCCAGCATTTTGAACAAGGTACCCGAGAGTTGTGACCCATATGTCCAATAATAAAGGCTCGGGCAGGAGCATCCGCAATAAAACATCTCAATTTTATAGGAATTATTCTACCATTGAAGTGAACGCCATTGTTTGCTAATATAGAAAGAAGATCATCAACGAAACGCTCCATCATTTTTACAGATTCAGTAGGTTTCTTAAAACCCTTCCATATGCTAGCGAGTTCCGGTTTGCTACCAACTATATTAGCAATCCGAATACAAATAGGCCATATCCTGACTGAAGAAGATTTGTGTAAGGAAGCTTCATCTGTACTGAAATCAAGTTCTAAAATTTCCGGAACATTTTGAGGAGAAATTGATTGGAGGGTCGTTAAAATTGCATTTTCAACGCCAAAATGAAGATATTCACCTCCAGCAATATTCATAATGGAAGCTTTATCGTGGGGAGTACGCAAAATTGTACGTGGATCCATGTGCAAACTAGCCAGGCAAGAGTGTGAACGTATAACATTCATCACAGCTTTTATTTGAATGTGGTTCATATCGGTATCTACAAATGCATCTCCTAGGCGTTTTTCAAAATTTTGCAAACTGTCATCTTCGTTTGAAGATATTGACGATTCTAAAGAGGAAGATGATGAATCTACATGATCAGCATTTGATTCATCTCCATCAGATACATTATTATCTCTTACGATCACTGTATGGTTTTCATCACCAATATCAAAAGTGTTGCAGTCTAAATCATCATGATTGTCTGCTGGTTGATTTATAAGAGGATTTACGTCAGCCTGTTCGGAATCTAATTCTTCCTGCATTAACGCACGTTTACGCGATTTAAAAATCTTACGCTCTAATTGTTGACGATATTGCAGAGAGTAATCTTCAAAATTTTTACGCGTTATTATATTATTTATTTGAGACATTTTTATTAGAATCAATTTAACTCGGAGGATAAATTATTATAATACAGTAACTACTATTTACCAGTTTTATATACTTTTCTTTCTAAATGTTTAGCGTAAATAAATTTCAGAGCTATATGTTACCAGTATAATATATATGAATACGTTACTTTATAAATACTCGCCTTCCGATTGAGCTGCAAATCTATAAAAGAAATAAAAAACTAATCTTAGTTCATAATTTTTACCACCAACAGTAGTGGAAGATTCATAAATAAATTTATTAAAAAAAATACCGACTTCACATTTATTTGGGATTACTGGAAAGTGGAGACGCGGAATCGAGAGAGAGAGAGACAAAGATAAAGTAGTTTAACTATTAATTATGGTAATTAATAAAAACAAATAAACAGATTGGCGTTTTGTGCGTTCTTCTAGATAATGTCTTTTTAAAATTCACAAATAATGTAGACTATTCATATTGAATGATTGCTTAAAAAATTATTATTATCGATTTAACATGTTCATAAATCTTAAAAATATTTTAAAATGGGAAAGTCGTTCTTGAATTGAATTTAAACAAATTCAATATATACTCAAAATGAAAAAATACTTCATTTATACCTGTAAGTTATTATTAAAATGAAAAAAGGAAGTTTCCATGATCAAAAAAGTTGCGCATGCATGTATTTAACTTTTCACACCCAAAATAACATTAATGATGTTTTTTCTTTTTTCTCCGTGCACCGTAATCATTCAATCACCTTATAACTTATTACGTTTGAATTACTTTGCCAATTGCAGAAATTACTACTAAATCTTATTTTTCACTTTTAATTTTTATAATAACTATATTCACGCATGCGTATTTGCATATCGGCGTCTCAGCTGGAGACCCACTGCCATCTATAGTAAAGTAGAGTATATATTGAATTTCTTTAAAATTGACCGATCATAGTTATAACGCGGTCTTGTTTATTGCAGGGCATTTACTCAATTGTGCATTCCAGTGTCAAAAATTTTAGGGTGCGTTTGTTTATCGCTTTGTGTGGTGTTGTTGTGGTGTTGAGTCCGCGAGATTCGCTTGTTCCTTCCTTACAGTAGTCATTTCAAGTCACGAATTTCGTCATTTTAATATCTTGTATGCTACCATTACAGGTGCACCCTTATTGTTTTATAAACAAAGTTTTTTTATTAGAAAAAATACCTAAGTAGTACTTAATTGTATGTGAGGTGCATTTAAGTTAAGAAAAATTGTAAAATTATTTGAATTGACAGTGCAGTAACTGTGAATATTGAATATATTATCATAGCCTTACAATGGATAATATACAATTGCCTCAAAGAGCTTTGACTTTTTGCATGATGATGCTGTTATTCTCAGCAGCTCTGATGAACTAAATGCAATTGCAGTTATTAATTTGTGCAACGCTATGTCTGTGGTATCTCACATGCATTATTTAACGTATGTACAGAAAAAAAATTCAAAACACTATCAACAATAAAAATGATTAAATAAAAAATGCAAGTAATGATACAATTTTACTTTTTTTCTAGATTTAATGATGATGAAGAACCTGTAGCATTTCAAGATTATTTTGAACTCGTGCCTTTTATGTCTGAAAAACAGTTTATACAAGATTTTAGAATGCCAAAATCACATTTTGAAATATTGCATGCCAAATTGGTGAACTCTCCTTCCTTTCAGTGTACTGGTAAAGGGAAAGCACCCGTTTACTCTGAAAAATGCCTTGCGATAGGCATCTGGGTGTTAGCAACTCCAGATAGTTATAGAAGCATTGCCAGGAGATTCGCAGTCACCAAGTCTACGGTTAAATGCTGTCTGGAAAGAGTGATCAATGGGCTACTAAATGAAGTCTGTCATAAAGCTATTCGACTACCAGAGACAGAAACAGAGCGAAGACTACTTGCATAACAGTTTGAAGTTCTTGGTGGAGAAGAAGGTGGTCTGCAAAAAGTGATTGGAGCTCTTGATGGGTGCCATATCAAAATACGAGCTCCTGCTAGAGGTGACAAATCTGTGTATTTCAACAGGAAAAAAGACTATTCAATAGTTCTTCAAGGATTGTGCGATGCAGATTGCTTTTTCACAAATGTAGATGTGAGGTGGCCTGGTAGTGTACATGATGCAAGAGCATTTACAACCTCGGATTTGTATCCCTTGTGCGAAGATATATGCAGAAATGGATATTACTTTATAGGTGATTCTGCTTATCCGTTAAAAAGTTATCTTATGAGACCTTATCGCAGGACTCATAGATTGAGTTTGCGCCAAAAATTGTACAACAAAATCCTAAGTAAAACCAGGCAGGTAATTGAAAGGGCGTTTGGCTTTTTAAAGACTAAATTTAGAAGATTGTACTATTTACATAGGAATAATGTCAGAGACTCAGTGCGTACTATTGCAGCTTGTTGTATTTTGCACAACATTTGTTTAGCATCAGAAGAGTATGCAAGAATTTTGATTTTTGGCAGGAACGAAAATGAAAATGATGAACCAATGGAGCAGAATTTACCAAACAATATTGTTGAAAATCCAAATAGAAAGCGACAGCAAATAGTGGACAGATTATGGAATTTGTATGCTAATTAGAAAAGTGCCTCATGTCAATTTATAAAATATTTTATCCATCGATACTGCAATGAATGTACCATATGCACTTTATGACATTTTTCACAGATTTGCTTTGGAAACTGACAAGTTTTACAGAAAAAACAATTTATTCATCTTGTGTTTTACAGAAACAGTTTGATTATCTTATTTTGTAATATTACTCAAAATGCATAAATAAATTGTACATTGTTTTTAAAACAATATCAACATACTTATTTTAATGTAGTGAATAAGTTATTTTACCGTTTTATATTATAGTTATCACTAATTACACGTATGAATTGAATATCACAACTTGACTACAATGTCTCTGAAACCACAACATTATTTCAACAGCTTCGCATGACAACTATTCATATATAAACAGTAAATGTACTCATTTTTAATTATAGTATCATTTTTATCTTAATGCAAATGAGTTTCAATAAGTTATATTTAAATAATAAATAACGCGTCTTATTGTACCTTTATTGACTATATCATCACAGAAAAGCACATTGCATTTTATATGATATAGCTAATGATAATTGGATAAATTAGTTTGAGGTTCGGTAAACTGCTAAACTCTTTTGCTAATGTGTGAAAAAAAGTAATTATCAAATCTAGAAAAAAACGAAAAGTTTACACGAGACAAATATTGTAGAAATTTACTTTAAAATTTGTAGTCCTTAATTATTCAAAATCTGTTGAAATGTTAAATCTTGCTAATTTTCTTTCGAAGGCAAAAATCTTTCAGCCATTCTGTCGACTGAAGCAGTGATAGAACGAGTGTTTTCTGTGAGAGACTGGATGAGCATATTTGTAGTATCCTTCATGACATTGATTCCTTCTGCCAGAATGTCAGTATTGGTCTTTCTCTTTTTAATCAGTACTTCAGCTTTAGGCAATATTTTATCATTCTGGTTCTTAGGCGATCCTTCATTATTTTGATTTTCTTCATCGCACACTTTTCTCTTACGTTTATTTGATACTTGCTTCCAGCTGTTAAGATCCTTCTTTTTCTGTACTAAATCTTTATTTTCAGAAACTTTTTTAATAGTCTTACTAGATTTTCCCAAACTCTTCATGGAAGACAGTGATTTAGGCTTGGTGCCATTCATTTCATCACATTTCCTCGCACATCCCACTGATGATGACTTTGGATTGATTGAGGAGCATGCAAATACTGGAACTACATTTGCTTGTTTTCCACACATTGACTCAAAAAAATCATAATGCTTGCATTTTGCAGGCGATTGCCCTGTTTTTTCATTCTGCTGCTTAGCAATTTTGTACTGCTGAAATAAAGAGTAAAATTTATTTTTTACTTGATTCACTGAATTGATCCTGAAATCAAATAGAATCAATTAATATAGGTTACAAACAATGTTGCAATACAATTTAAAAGGCAAGTAAAATTCAGTAACTTACTTTTTCTTTCCAAGTTTTTCTGTCAAGGTTTTCCAAGATATGATGTTATTTTTATTCTTCATGTTTTTATACTCGTGCAGCAGATCTAATTCTTCTGACAAATCCCAGCCTTTCTTTTTTTTCTCTTTCATTGCACAATTTAATACATCTGTACGTAACTCTTTATATTCTAAAACTACTGATTCAGCTTGAGCAATATAGCTATCTTGCTCCTCCGGAGTCAAGCTTGGATCCTGAGCTTTTGTTAACAACTCCATCTTTTTCTTCAACATCTCTGCTCTAGCATCAACCAAGACATCTTCTTCTACAAATTTGTCCTTATGATCATCTTCATTATATTCTTCATCATCTGTAGTGTACTCTTCGTCTTCACCGTAGTTTCCTTCCAAAAATGCATGAACATGATCAATGCCATCGTCAATCTCCTCCTCAAATAAAAGATCTTGCACAGCTACATAAAAAAAAAATATATGTAGTACTGGATAGGTATAGAATATAACATCACATTATCAATACTTTTTTACTAACTAGTTTTTTTAGAAGAGAGAGTGACGTTTTGCTGCATTTCAGCGGAAATGTCATGTAAAGAGTCGGCCTCGTAATCTTGTTCTACTGATGTGTCTTCAGGCTTTGGATCGTCGATTTCCAAAAATTTGTTTTGATAATTAGGATCATCAGAATAGATGGCATATGTATCTGGATTCCTATAAAGGACTTGATTTGGGTTAGTGACTATAAACAAAATTTTCAACATTATTTAATGATGAAGCTTGTGGAGTGCAAAAGATTTGATTTATTGCAGCCAGTCAGAAAATGTAGCTTAAGCAAAGATTAAACTTTATTCTTATATATAAAAACTTACGTGACAATGGATATACTTTTAGAAGATCTGTAGTTTGAACAATGTCGTGTTCATGGTAAGGTAACATACATCCATGACGAGAAAGATCTTTATGCAAAAATCGTTCATTGCACCAGCCACAAGACACCATGCCCTAGAAATAATAAATATTGATACTGTAAAAATTTTGGCCAGCTTTAAAGTTAACATTTCAGGTTAAAAATCGAACAGTGGTATAACGCTAACAAGTTTCATTGCTAAAACTTTTATCAAATTATACAATTCCTCATGACTAAAAATTTTACCTACCTCCATAAAACCACTCATTGCTAATGAAATTTACAAACTTTCATTAATACAGAACAAACAACAGGCGGGAATGTGAAAGGTTCGACTACAATCAGAGAATTGTTGTTTTTTAAGATGGCTACCCCATTCGTTACAAGAACGTGGGAACAAGCGAAACTCGCGGACTCAACACCATAACAACACTACTCCGACCGATAATCAAACGCACCCTTAGCCAACTTGATTCTACCAATAAACTTTAAGCGGGTAGTAATTTGTTTATTAACAGGATTTCTTTACGAAGATGTCAGAATCGTTCTGTGAACGTCCTTAGCTGCTGTATAACCTGACTTGCTTTTTTTTATAGCTAAATACAAGTTTAAAAATCTATTAATGACGATCCAGAAAATCTCATCATACAGCCATCCATCCCATCAGATATGTTGCCAATTAAAAATTTTTATTTAATTAAACATAAAAAAACTTGTTGCTTTGTGGATGTTTTCTTTTGTTTGCAGGCATAAAATCCCAAGGAGAATGCTTATTATCAACAATTTATACAGATGATTATCAAGAAACATACATCAGAGATTGTGTCACATCCAAAGAGTACACAGTGGCTTGCAGCAAAATGTTAATTCAATATAAAGCACCCATATTTACTTTTTCACCATGATTGTAAAATTGCAATAGATATTACAGAATACATTGGACCAGTCGTATGTACCATTGGTGATTTAATAAAACAATGAACAGCAAAACTATATACAAAAAGTAAACATGGTTTTATAAACTCGTGCCTTCCATACTAACATATTCAATACTAGCATTGCAAATAACAGTAGTAATATTGGTTGTAAATATGAAGATGAATCATCAGATTTGGTTGCTATTATGAAATCCAAACCACAATCCACGATAAAAAAGTGACTTACAATGATCATAAAGTTATTGCAGCTAATATTAGTTATGAGATCCTGTCACTAGAGAGATACCATAATATTTGATCGTTATAATTATTTAGCTACAATAACTTTATCAGCATTCTAAGTCACTTTTTTGTCGTGGATTGTAGTTTGTTTTTGGTACTAACACCAGCACCTGGTAATTCGTTGTCATAATCACAACTATAAATGCTACTATTATTTATAATGACAGTCTTAAGTGTGCTAGTATTCAATGCACAAGTTTACGAAATTATATTTAATTTTTCTTCACTATATTATTACTATATTATAATTTTTCAATACTATATTAGCATGCATTTCAATATATTGCCCTTGTCATTTATAGTTGTGATTAGCCTTAGTTGTCCATTTAATCATAAAAAATTTTAATTACTAAAACACAATTTTATTTTTTATCTTATTTTACTTCTTTAATAATTTATATAAATACTGATTATGCATCATTATTGATTGTATTACAGTCATCACAATTCAATAAATTAGCTTATTGATCAGTAGAATTTCAAAAAAATTGTTAATAATTTTTATTTTTACTTACTTTTATCTTAACTACGACTCTCCACCACAAGGAACACTTTCACAATTAATTGTTACAATAATAGTACACTAACAATCACAATTATTTATGATTAAATCGTTCAATAGAAATCACACTGACTGGTAAAGAATGTGAGACTTTTTAAAAGAACGTTTTTCAAAAATATCGTTGTTAACCGATGACGATCGAATATATGGTACGTGTATGTATGGACATTCAAATATATATTTTGTACACATAAATAAAATTATTACAAAGAAATAAAAAAACAGGAACATATATTTAATATATTTCTATTATCAAATACTTTATTAATTTTATTAAAAATACATTAATATGAAAAAATAATCAATGCACGTAATGATACCTTTCGAATTTATTTTTTCACGTGACCGCAGAATGACAGCATTCTGACGGCACGGCGTGCGGCATTTGGGACTTGCATTATGCGCGCATTCTGACGGTACGGCGTGCGTCGCTTTTCGTGCTTGCATTATGCGTGCATTCTGACGGCACGGCGTCACGAGCACGCGCGTGCAAGACCGTGCTGGCACGCTATATTATCTATGGGAATGCCGCTCTTTTTTCTCGGTCGATAATGGTGTAACATCTCGCGGATGATGAAGCGGAACTACATTGTAATATTGGGAACTAGATGAAATATAATGTATTTTAATAGCACAATTTTTTTGTCTAGTTCTTTCATTTCCTAATTATCAACCGCCATACATCTATGGTATGAATTAACACCTATAACATATATATATATATATATTATTACGTTTACATATAGTCAATAAAAATAAGCAAGTAACACAAACTAAAACTTTATTGAAACACAAACGTGATGCTTTCAATTTGACGCTCAGGCGTCAACTAACTAAACAACAAAAATATTTATTCTAACGTTGCCGTGGATACAAACGTACGAATT